ATCAAAAGCTATTTAAAAATATTCTGAAAAAAAGGATTTAAACCCAACCACAAGCAAGTATTACATGCTGTAGGAAAGCAAACCATGTGATGCTCCAATATGCAGCTGAGGAATGAATACATAGAAGCAATCATATGTAGTATGTGCAATACCAACTGGAAGAGAGGTAACACCAATAGCCACCTGTTACCAATTAAACAGTGTTAAATATCTTTCCAGACACCAGGACAGCGAAACCTTCTAGGCATGACATAACAAGGCCTAATACAGAGCAACTATCTTAACTACATAAATTATTACTTAGAACACCACAGATTTTTAAAAAGGCAGTCACTACTCAAACACAAACACGGGACATCATTTTAACTGAGTCACATGCCACCAAATTAGAACTGAAGTGCAACACACATACAAGAGGACAGGAACAAAAGACTGAAGCAGAAGAGATACACAGTTCATGCAGGGTCAGAAGGGCACACTTTTTTCTAGGAAACATGATCAAGTTTTAAAAGATACAAAGAATACTCACAGTCCTTTTGACCTCTGAAAAATGGGTTACATACACTTGAAAGTACCCATTGGATTTTCAACATTCAATTCACCACCTTATGACTAGAATTAGCAATCAAGTTACAACATATATCAAAATACTTCAGTATTTTTTTTCCTAGCTGCCTAAGAGGGCTGCCCTTGTGCTACATCTCACCCCAACCTGTACTCTGCTGCTGCCTTTGCTACTGGAAAACAAAATCTACCCACGGGATAAGATGACTTTCTACATCTAACATTGTTAGTTCTATGGCATCAAAGAAAATAAAAACTTCCCAAAACTGCTGAGAACAGTTCGGATGACTCAAGGGAATAAACCCCTCTAATCTCCCCACACACTTCTACACAACAGACATAAAAGTACTTCAAATTACTGTGAGTATACTGACCCACTTGTACAACCAAGCACAGAATTTTACATCAACTGAAAAATTAAGGTACATTCAATCTTCAGAAAATAATTTAAAACAAAATTGTCTAATGTATGGACGCTCAAGAGGTCAATCTTCAACCGAAAAGATCAAGTACTGGACATAGTACTGGTAATCCCTATTACTGTAAAGCATGTAATGTACACAAGCTGCTTTGATAAACCACAATGAACATGAGAAACCGATCACTATTAAAAAAAATTATTCATTTAAACAACTGCTCTGCACATTTAGGAAAAAGACTTTTAAACAGTTAAAATTTTTCTGCCTTACACCCACTATGTAAGAAATCAGGGACAAGTGCCACTTTCATGCAGCTAACAGAACACTGATACTACACAGCACACTTAAATCTGTAGATCACACTCTCAGTACCTTCATAATGTGAATGTTTTAAAGAGGAACAGGTTTTCAGACTTTCAAAAAAATTAGTGCTTTAAGTTCCTAAGTTAAAATTAATCCCTAAACTTAGTTCAACCTTGACTTTAGAATACTTCAAAAGTGAAAAACAGATCTGTTTGGGGAAAAAGTCACGTTAATTCACTTTTAAACTATCTTTCACAATGCAGGCTCTCCACCAATATCCCTTAATTCTCCCTCTATTCCCTCAAAATTCACACCAGGAGAGTCACATTTTCCTCATTGACATTTCCCATGTACCTCCACACCTGTGGGCCATATCACTAAATGAAACAACTCAGTCTCATATGCTATTTTTACACATTACTTTGAAATAAGCTTGACATTTTATACACTGTGCAAAATGTAATTTTTTAAAATTGTTTTCTGAAAAATGTTTATCTCAAAATTTCCAAGTTGTCCAACATCATCCTCCTCTTAGAAGCTGCTTTGTATTCAGTCAAATATGTAATTTACAATTTAAGTTTGATGGACATTCTCAATTATTAAACAGCATGCAAAAGACATTTATCTTGTATCATTTCAGAAAAATGCAATGAGCAAGCAACTGTGTTCACAATACTACAGCTGAATACTGTACCAATTTCAACCATAGCAAGCCACTGACTACATTACAGCAAAAATACCTAGTAATAAAAGTCTGAAGTTGAACATTGCCTGCACTTAATTTACATACTGTCAATAATACAAATGAAATACCTTCCAGCCCACACTGAATTTAAGCAGCTATTTTGAGCTTTCCAGAATTTCAAGGCCCTACACTACATTTGTAACCCCTTGAGGTAATACTGTTTCATTTAAAGAAAGTTTTGAGTTCTACCTCTTGATGATTAGCAGTTTAAACAAGCATTTTTCAAATTATATGTAACTGAAGTTTCACCCAGGGATCTTAAAATGCAGAGTTAAATTCACAGGAAGTGCATTTGCACTAGTGTAACAATAATTGTCATGAAGCAAAATTAAAATAACCATGATGCCCATTTCCAATTTGAACAAGGATGGATCAGATTCACACATGTACGTTACTTCCACACAATTTACACACACCTAGAACTTACAGGCTTTGTGTGGCTGCATTTTAAAGTCACCTTCGGTAAACTACTGTTTACTGAAGCATTACTATTGGTTTTGTTGTGGACTTTGTGGACTTTTGCACAGTCTTATCTGATCACACCTAATTCTCAAAGGCTGCAATGGGAACACACTCTATTAGGGCACATCTCTGCATATTCTCAAATAAATCTAGATTAGTCTTAAAAGACAAAAAAATCTGGATAGCTCAAGAAAAACAGCATTTTAACCTGTCAGTGTCGCAGAGGCTTAAATTTCCCCTGCAGTGGAGAAGACCCCTGTGCAAGAGGTCTGTATTTACTCAGAATAATCCTGTTTAGCAACTTCCATGGGACTTAAGTTTCAATATTCCTAAAGTTTCAAACATTTTTTCCAGCCTCTCAACAAGACTTAAAATGTACATTACATTTAAGAGCATGGACATACTAAAAACATCACTAATTTTAGTAGGAGCCTATGTTAAAAAAAAAAAAAAGACACATTCAGTCGTGTTTTGTATTACCTGAGACATTTTCATACTAGGGAAGCATCACAGATGACATCTCTACAAACCCAGGTCCAGACTTTGGAGCTCAGCAACAGAATGGCTTCCCTACGATCAAGAGGAAATCCAATCCCTAACCACACATACAATTAAATTGTTCAATTGAAAAGCATGTAGTATTTCTGCAACATTAAGAATCTATGACCTCAGTCACTACACAAGTCTAAGATTAGACAGAAGACAGATTCACTTAAAAAGGACAATAAAAAGTTTAATTCTTTAAATTAATGCAAGCATAACTGATATTTTGTTTCCTGAAGTCAAACATACTTCAACTATGGCCGAACATTCAACAGCAGCACTAAACTTCTGTGAGCATTGCCCTATCTTCCACTGACTGCCTCAGCACAACCATTTCTCACTGCATGGTGAACTGGATCTGGGAATTCAATCTTGCTAGGAAACGGTGTGGCAAAATCAATTGTTTATTTTTGGCTAAATTAGTCCCCAGATCCAGCTCAACATGCAACCTCACGCTTATGCAACAACAATGCAGAGAACAGGGCAGGGACAGGCTTATGTCAGCACCACAGCCAGGAGAGCCACAAACCCATGCCTCTAGAATTATTTATATTTCCAATGGCCATCAGTATTACAAATTATCACAACCCCTGCTAAGCTCCACAGTCACCACAGAACACTGAGCTGACAGGAAGCTCTCATCTTCAGATGTGTGGGCTATAGCTCAGAAAGATCAGCTTTTGTGTAGGAAAACAGGTGTTTTAAGACTGTGGCTGGAAAACATGGGCAGGGTGCTGCTGGTGGCCCAGCTCACTGTCTTAACTACTGACATTCTTCCTGTTCAGAACTCCTAGTCAAGCAATTTATGAATACTGACCAATTTCAACCTCTTCCTTGTAAGTAAAGGTGATTTTTTTTTCCTTTTTGTTCATGGAAGAAAAATCTTAAGAGAAGGATCAACATGCCTTACACAAACGGGTAAAATTAATCTTTACTTAAAAACAGGGAAGTGATTTTAAAAGTTAAACACTTTCTATCTGTTACAAATGCTTCTTCAAAGTATGCACGGGCTGTTTATTCACAATTGGTAAGCAGCAGAAAGAAACTACCCTTCCTCAAGTTTCTCATTTTCTTGAAACTCTTAACAGTCTTCTGCTGTCCACTCCTCATGATACACAAGCATGTGGGATTAGAGTAACAACCGTACTTGAACCACTTCCAGCTGTTTCACAGTTCTTTATGGAAGTGCAGGCTAGGAAAACGTTTATAAACTAGATCATAATATCGTAATTTAACATCTAGTGAGAAAAAAAAGTACTTAACTATCACGAAAACTATAAGAAGCTTGAATAAAAATATTTTGATCGAGAAAGATGACCTAAGCGTAAAACGCCAATTTCGTTTGCAACACGCCTTGAGTCTTACCAGTCACGCTGTTTTCTTGTTTCAGCTGCCAGACCGCCAAGCAGCGCATCTGTCAGCGTACCGATCCGCACCCCGAGTCAATAACCCCGCGCCTCCTGATCGTCAGCCCCCCCCGAGCTCCGTACCCGCTTTGAAGCCGGCCCTTCTCCGCTCCTCGGCTGCCAGGAGGGCGCTCGCCGGCCGGCGAGGAAGATCCGCCCCCTCCCCTCCCCGCAGCGCTTCTGCGATCAGAGCGATCTAAGATGGCGACGGTGGAACCGGTGAGTGTTTCATTCCCTTCTCCCGCCCGCCTTTCGCTCTCCTTCCACACCCTCCTGCCGCCG